GCGTCCCGCTACTCCTTATCCCCCCGCTCCTCCTCCTCCTCCTCCTCCTCCTCCTCCTCCTCCTCCTGTTCCTGTTCCTCCTCCTCCTCCTCGTCATCATCACCACCACCACCATCATCATCATCATCATCATCATCATCATCATCATCATCATCACCATCATCATCAGCATCAGCATCACCATCATCATCATCTGCATCAGCATCACCATCACCATCATCATCAGCATCATCATCAACAACAACATCATCATCGTCAGTATCAGCATCGTCATCATCAGCAGCATCGTCATCATCTTCGCCTTCCCCCACCCCCCTCCTTGTCGGTAGGACGGGCAGGGAGGGTCGCCTGAGACTGCCTCACCAATGATGAACTGAAATTTAACACTTACCACAGCGTGGATGGAGAGCACGACGCTTTCAAAATGCGGCTCTCGCCTTCGCGCCGCGCACATGCGTGTTCAAAGTTCGCCAGACCTTTACGAATGGAGGGCTGGTTTTGTCCCAGCATTTGGCCCTCGCCTTGGCGCCGTGCTCATTCGTCTCAAAAGCATGCAGAGACTCCAGGGCGGGTCGTTTTCGAAACGCGGCTCTCGTCTTAGCGCCGCGGTCAAAAATAAAAATGCGCAAGCGCTTCCCGGATGAGGGGCGGGTCATCTTCCAAGTGTGGCTCTCGCCGTAAAGCCGCGCACACTCGTTTTACAAGTGCGCAATGTTTCCACGGAGGGAGGGCGGCGCTTGCTCAAAATGGTGCCGCTCACCGTTTGCGCCGCGCTCACTCGTGTTGTTAATTTCCATGAGGTTCGCGGATGGACGGCGGACAGTGTTCAAAACGTGGCTCTCGCCTTGGCGCCGCGATCACTCGTCTTAAACAGTGTGCACGAGCTTCGCGGATGCAAGGCGGGCGGTTGGCAAAATGTGATTCACGCCTCAGCGCCGCGCACAATCGTCCAAAAGTGTGCAACAAGTTTACGGATGGAGAGCGGCCCTTGTTCAGGCGAAGCGCCCAACCCGCCCTAACCCCACGTCTGCGGGTGCGACAGGGAGGAGTTCTTTGCAAAGATAGGACGTGAAGGAGGCGGAGGAGGAAGGAGACCTGGAGAAGGGGGAGCAGGAGGAGAAGCAGGAGGAGGAGGATCGCACGCCACCAAGGTGGAAGAGAGAGGGAGAGAGAGAGAGAGAGAGAGAGAAAGAAACAGAAAGAAAGGTCCGATAATTCAACCAAAAACACCCAAGGGGCCCTTCGGAGCGGACCGTTTTGTCACTGCGGGGATGCTGGTACCGGCCTCCCCAAAGGCCAGCGGGAGGAGGAGGAGGAGGAGGAGGAGGACGTGGACTAAGGGGGAGGGGCGTGGAGGAGGAGGAGGAGGATGAGGAGGAGGAGGAGGAGGAGGAGGAAGAGGAGGAGGAGCAGGGGAACGTGGAGAAGGGAGGGGGATGAGGAAGGGGGGTAAGGGGGGGGGGGGGACCGCACCCGACACGCCCCAAAGCCCGTTCCAGACCTTCCAGCAGCGCCCAGCAACGCCCAGCAGGGTGGAAAGTTAGCAAGAATTCCAAGGAAGCGTACGATTGAAGTCCCAGGAATAGTGCTCTGGCACGACTAGGGGTTGTCAAGACGCGCCGCTCACATTGATTGGCGGCGCTGAAGTCCCAGCAAAAGGGTTCTGGCACGGCTTCAGATTGCCAGGGTGTAACGGTCGCGCTTGTTCGCGCTGGAGCCCCAGGAATTTAGCTTTGATGCGATTGAGGATTCTCAGACGGCTGTTTTCCACTAGGGCATTCCCCGCAAGGAAAAACGAATCCTGTAGGGACCGATGGAGAGGGAACTTGGAGGGAGGGTTGGTGCTCCTCGTCCTCCTCCTCCTCGTGCTCTTCCTCCTTCTGCTCATCATCATCATCATCATCATCATCATCATCATCATCGGCAGCAGCATCAGCAGCATCAGCAGCATCAGCATCAGCATCAACATCATCATCATCATCATCAGCGTCATCATCAGCGTCAGCATCAGCACCAGCATCAGCATCATCATCATCGGCATCATCATCAGCATCATCATCAACACCATAATGATCAGCATCATCATCATAGCCATCAACCTCATCATCAGCATCATAATCATGATCAGCATCATCATCAGCAGCATCAGCATCAGCATTATCAGTATCACAAGCATCGTCAGCAACATCGTCATCGTCATCGTCAGCAACATCATCAGCATCATCATCAGCATCATCATCATAGCCATCAACATCATTTCCTATCATAAGGGCGCGGCCACCCCATGGGGTCTGCGGAAACAGCGACAGCGCACAGATTAAACCGAGAGACGAGGGATCATCAACCTTTTTTCATCAGGCAAGCGCCGTGGGACACACGGTGGTACTCTAAAAACTCGAGCCGGGGAAGTGGAACCACTTCTGCGGCTAAGTGCAATCACCAAAAATTGCCACACACACACACACACACAGTACATTTGCGGTGTGTGGGGGACGGCGGGTGGGAGCTTGAGCAGGAGCGGTTTCGGAGCAGAGGGAGAGAGCAGCAGCAGGAGCAGCGAACGAGACGGACGCGGCTCCACTGCTCTGAAACTCCCGAGGCCACTCGCACTTAGGAAAACGAGTCAGAGACAAATCATTCCTATCATAAGGGCGTGGCCACCCCATGGGGTCTGCGGAAACAGCGACAGCGCACAGATTAAACCGAGAGACGAGGGATCATCAACCTTTTTTCATCAGGCAAGCGCCGTGGGACACACGGTGGTACTCTAAAAACTCGAGCCGGGGAAGTGGAACCACTTCTGCGGCTAAGTGCAATCACCAAAAATTGCCACACACACACACACAGTACATTTGCGTCCCATCCCCATCGTCAAATGCCCTTCGGGAGGGCGGGTGGGTTTAAATCATTATCACTGCACAGGTCCGAGGCTGGGGCGAAGAGACAAGACTAGGTGGCGCACACGCGCCTGAGGATGTCACGAACTGTCGAGTCAGTAAAACGGGCAGCTGACGAGATCTGCAGTTCGGTGAGCTTCGACCTCTGACGAAGGGCAGACCCGTGCTTTTCATATATACGAACACTCTCTCGGGCGCGCCAGCGCCCGCGCTGCTGGATGGCCTCGATCGGTCGGATACTGTTCAGAGCGTCGTGCGAGGGCCCTCCGTGGCGCAACTGGTGAGGAACTGACAGGAGATCACCAACTCCTGCCGAGTGGGCGGCCTGCTTCAAAGTCTTTTCAAACAGAGGAAGGGAAAGAGGGTGGAACAGAGTTGGCAGCTTCGAGCGTCTGGCACGGGCTCGCAGCCTAGAGAGAATCTCGGGAACAATTCGGCGAACAGGCAGGTCAGTGCCGGCCTTCACCGCGCAGTCGAAATCTTTGTTCTTGGCTGGCTTGTCGTCGCCTAGCGGCGCTACGACGACGGTAATGTCAGAAGCCCGGCCTGACGTACGAGAGCCGAAGACGTGCTCCGGCTTGATGGCGAGCAGCTCGCCAGGCCGGAAGTACACGTCGAATCCGGTCACGGCGGCCAGGCACGCCAGCAGGTCGGACGTGGTCCCGTTGTCGAGCACAGCACAGGTCAGTTGGACGGCCTCGAACGGTGGCGGCTCTCGCGGCGTAGCCGGCAGTTTTGCCGCCCAGCCAGTCAGAGCATCTTTGGCCTTATGGAAACGAGGTCGGCTAGCAGACCATCCTCAAACTTTGCAGAGCCCATGCAGCGCGTTTCGAGCCAAGTACTGGGGCTCACCTGCAAAGAACAAGTCTTCGAAGTACAAGTTGAGCGTCTCGTCTGCCAGCTCCGGCGTGGTCAGCAGCAGGCCCCGGCGATTGGCGTAGTCGGTCAGCTCGATCACGGCGGACGCGTAGCTGTCGACCGTGGCTGGCCGCAGCGAGGCCAGGCGGAGGTACTCTCCAGGGGCGGCCTGTCGCTGACTAGCAGCGACGTCTCCGCGCGCGGCAGCCTGCGCTCGGCGGCGCCGGGCGGCCACGGCCACTGGACGGGGGACAGGGTCACGTTGGCTCCGGCCTGCGCGCCTGGGCGTCAGCACGGCTGAGTCGGCGTCTGCCTCGACGGCTGCCTCGCGGGCGTCGACGCCAGGCGTTGCCCGCGGCTGCCAGTGCGACCGCGCCTGCGCCGGCGCTGGTGCAACCGCCACGTCAGCGGCTGCGCGGGCGCGGGTCGAGCGCGGTGGCCCACCCTGGCCTCCAGGGGAGCCGAAAGCGCTGCGGGCAGATCGGCGCCGTGACTCCGCGAGGCTCGGCGACCCCGGCCGCGCTTGCCAGCGCGTGAGCCCGAGCCTGGAGGTCATCCTGGGTCGAGCGCCCGAAAGCACTCTGAGGGGCGTCTGGGCCGGCCAACGAGACCAGCAGGCGGCGCCAGCTGGGTAGGTAAGCACCGGCCAAAGTCGTACGCCACGTCCAACCTCGCGTCGGATGCCGGACCTTGCCCTGCAGCTCGACCCTGTGGCGGCAAGCGCAGCAGCAGCGCAGTGCAAGATGACCCAGCCCGGGAAGGCTCCCGGCGATCGCACCTGGCTTCTTGAAGGGCGCGCCGAACCTGCACGAGTCGAACAGCACCTTCGGCCAGGCAAGGCGCTGCAGCTCGCGCTGCAACGCGGGCCACTTCCAGACTCGGCTCGCAGGCGGGTTCTCGAAGGTGACGAAGATCCCGAGGGTCCGGCAGAGTCGCAAGACACGGACTGTGAACGCCACGAGCGTGCGGTCCGCCGGCGATGGATCGCGCGTGCCCCCGACGGGCACCCACCTCGTACAAGGCAGGCCCAGGTGGACCCACCAGACTTCTCCCGATTTGAGCCAATGTTCAACGAGACGCTGGACTCGACGGCTCGTGAGGTCACAGTGGGGCCCATACTTGGAGTCCATCGGGGGCATGATCCGAAAACCTCGCTCATGCAACGCACCACTGAGATTTGCAGTACCCGCGAAGATCTCGAGGAAGGCTTTACGAGGGGGGCCCCGTCGAGGAACTTCAGGAGGCCGAGGGCGCTTAGCCAGTGCCCGTTGAGGCTCTTCGTGTGGCCCAAGGTGTGCAGGTGGGCCCTGTTGAAGAACTTCAGGAGGCCGAGGGCGCTCAGGAGGGTCCTGTTGAGGATCTTCGCGTGCCCCAAGATGTACACGTGGGCCCCGTAGAGGAACTCCAGGAGGCTCGAGTGCAACAGGGAGGCATCGAACATGCTCAGGTCGGTCTCGTTGGGGTCGCTCGTTGGGGCGTACTTTCGAGACTTCATCTTGATGCCTTTTACTCTGGTAAGAAGAGGAATGCGTGGTAGAGGAAAGCTGAGGTGACGGAAGTGACGGAATGCAACGGTCTCTTTCGGTGTTTTCAGGCCCCAGCAACTCGGCCTGCTCTCGTCCGATCTCAAACTCGGTAGCCGCGGTCGGCGGGGCCTTGGCCCTGCCCGCGGCTGGCGGGACCACGGGAATTCGGCGGCTGCCGCTGGTGGGCGCCGACAGGGCGCCTCGTCCGCGGTAGCGTCCGGCGAGGAGCTCACCTCGGTCAGCCGCCCGGCTCCCGTGGTCCGCGACGTTGTAGATGCCTGGCACGTGCCTCGGGCGCCAGCGGATCTCGCACCCGAAGCAGACGGCCGCAACCCGGCGGCACTGCGCCAGGAGCTCAAAATTGGTGGCCCTGCCCTTCTCAAAGGCGAGGACCGACGACATGTTGTCGCACAGACTGAGGATCTCCTTCCCGTGGAAGTTGACGTCGCCTGCCGCTCTCCATAGCGGTGCGACGGCGGCGCGCGCCTCGAGGGCGTGAATACGGCCAGGCCGGCGCCACGCGCCACGGCGGCGCTCCACCCAGCGACCAGCGTCCAGCAGAGCGGCCGCCAACGGCTCGGGCGGGACCCCGATCTCCAACTCGACCCGGCGCCTCTTGGCCACGGCGTGCCGCAGCCGGGGCGGCAGCTCGACGGGCAGTGGCCCGGAGATGTCGCAAAAGCCGGCGGCCCGCCCTTCGTACTGCTCGTCGTCGGGCGCGACCTCGGGCTCGGTGGCGACGAACCGCTGGCGCTCGCGCCATCTGGTGGCCGCCAGTACCTCCCAGGGCTCCAGTCGGGCTTCGCAGACGGCGTAGCCTCGCAGCGAGCTGTCGGTCGTGAAGGCGACGTCGGACGGCACGCGGCACAGGTCCACTTCGCCGAGGAAGACGAGGCCTGCAGCAACTGCGAGCTCACCGAGAACATCTCCAGGCAACCGCACGACAGGGGACAGGTCGCCGTCTCCGATGAACGTGTAGCAGGACCCCAGCACGCTGAGCCCGGGGCGTACGACGGAGAAGTAGTGCACCAGGTGGCCGACGATTCGCCGCAGCTGCCAGCGGGCGAGCCATGGCGTCCGAAGCACGTGGTGCAGAGCCAGGTAGAGCCTCCAGGCGCGCTTGGCGGTATGCCTGAGTCGGCCCTCGCGCCCGTCGAGCACCAGCCCCAAGACGACAAGGCCGGGCTGCGCGCGCTCGAGCTCGTGCCAGCGAAGCCCGCGACGATCCAGTTCAGCAGTGAGCTTGTCCAGCCGGTCGTTGAGCGCCGGCGCGCTGAGCGCGACAAGATTCCCGTTGTCGACGCACGGCGCCCTGACGACAGCCTGTCCGACGAGAGTCGGCGCACGGGCTTTGTCAAGGCACCAGCCGTCGCCTGGGAGGCCCGCCTCGTCCATCGCGTCGACGAGAACCTCGTGGCAGATCCAAAGCGCCCAGCTCCAGCCCATGGGCAACGCCGCGAAGCAGGGCCAGATGACGTCGTCGCCTGACACGGCCACGCGGCGCCCGAGCTTCTCGTCGTAGATCGAGTCGAGCCCGAGCTCGTCAGCGGTGACCTCCACGTCGAAGCACATCCAGCTGCCCCACGAGGGGTCGGCGAACTGGTAGAACCCGTCCATGAGGTCCACGGAGCCTGCGCAGAGCGACTCGTAGCAGCCGTCGAAATCCGCCAAGTCCTCGGGGCTCGCGCCGGCGGCGTCGAGCAAGTTGATCGAGCCCAGCGCCTCACCGGATGCCAGCACAGTCCGAGGGGGGAGCTTGTGCAGCTGGTTGGGCTGGCGAGCGCCCACGACCATGCGTATGTCGCCGTTCTTCTTGGCGACGAAGAAGGTACTGACGCACGCCTTCCGACGCGCCCGGCCATCCACCAGGCCCCGTGCAGCGAGTCGTCGAAGGAAGTCGACGAGGCGTGGTCGGTTCCGAGGGTCGCGCGGGTTGAGGAGAGGGTCCCAGTAAGGCTCCACGATGACCTCGTCCTCGGGGATGTTCGGCGCGGGGCGAACGACGTCCGAGTTGAAGTGGTCCAGCGCCTCGGTGACGTGCCGAGGGGCAACGTCTCGAAGCTGACGAGGCCGGTCATGTGGCGCACGTCGTAACACATTGAGCTTGTCAGCATCATAGTCGCGGCGAGTAGAAGCCTCGCCCATGTTCGAGCACAGATCCTTGCACTTGAGGAGCTCCTGCAGGGCTCCAGCACAGTCCATGTCTTTCGGTCGGTCGCCGAAGCCGCGGACACGACGTCGGACTCGCTTGATGACCGACTCCTGGGCGGTAGTCGGCCGATGCTTGCCGGGCGCTCGAGGCTCGAGACGCCCCCCAGCCCGTGCGCCTGCCAGCGCGTTGAGCGCACCCAGAGTCTCGAGAGACCTGCGATCACGGTCGTCAGCACGAGCAGCACGCTGGGCCAGATACCGAGGCAGAGCGGCACGTTCTCCACGATGAGGGTGGCGATAGAACTCGTCGCCCTGCGGCAGAGGAAACAAAACTGTGGACGAAGTCCGACCCTCGGAGGAGACCCCCTCGGAGGGCAGCCCGGCCCGACTCGCATTCGCGGCTGCGGAGTCAGGGCCAGGCCCAGTGAGGCCGGGCGGAGTGCCCAGCCATGATGGCGCCGACATGGCGCCGTCAACCCTGATCCTTCGCGGCGGCCTTGGGCTTCGGCTTTGCCTTGCCCTTCAGATCCGCCTTGGGGCCCCTCTCCCTGTCGTCGCCCTGCCTCTCGTACTTCTTCGCCTCCGACTCCTGCTCCTCCCGGCACATCCGCTCCTGCTTCAGAATGATGCCCTGCGACTTCTGCTCCTCGGCCACGAACGCGTCGAACTTCGACGTCACGACGCCTCCGCTCTCGTCCAAGGAGCTGCTCAGCATCAGGCCGAGGCCCTCGAAGCTCGGGTGGCGCGGGCACCTCTTCACCGCCCGCTGGATCTGCAGCACCCGGCGTCCCAGGAGCTCCAGAGACGCCAGGTTCGACGGGTCCACGAGGTCGTAGGTCACGGCGTGGTGCAGCTGGCTCAGCGCGTGCCGCACCTCCTGGGCCACCGCGGCGTTCCGCGACACCCCCGACTCCGAGACCCAGTACCCCCAGTAGGACGTGAGGGTCAGCCCGGTGGCGAGGATGGCGGCCAGCAGCTCGGGCAGGGCCTTCGGCCCCCGAAAGGGCCAGTCGTCGAAGTCGACCGCGTTCATCTTCGCGATCGCCTCCCCGAGCGTCACCTGGAGCCCGCGACCCCGCCGCGCCAGCGGGAGGATCCGCGGGTCGCGCCCCGGGCCTCGGCGCTTCTCGGCGCGCCAGTCCTCCTCGTCGGCCTGCTGCACGTTCTCGACCGAGACCCAGCCCTCCTCCTCGCTGAGCATCGCGATGCCCACCGCGTCGCGGCTGATCAGCCGCTCCGGGTTCCCGATGAGGTGGAGGTCCAGCTCGCGCCCGAACTCGGGCGAGCCTGGGTCCGAGACGATCCAGCGCGGCACGACGCCGCCAGCAGTCCCAGCTGGGGCAGCGACGCCCATGACCAGGGCGAGGCCACGCGCCTCCACGCGCAGCGCCTCGATGTCCTCGTCCGACTGGTCGCCGAACGCGTAGACCTGCCCACGAACCCGGACCGGGAACGCGGACGCCCGGCGCAGGGGGACGACCAGGTGCTTGCTGAGGTCCAGCGTCAGCACCTCGCCGTCGGGAGTCGCCGCCACCCAGATGCCAGGGCTGAGTTGCTCGAGGAGCACCCTGTGGTGCCACCGGAAGTTGTCGTCGTCGTCGTAGTTCACGCACACCTGCGCCTCGGGCACGTCGAGCGTGCGCATCGCCGCCGCCGCCATCCTGCCGACGGCCGACGATCAGGCTACGCTCGCACTGCCCGAAAGCGGCGCTGCGCGCCGCCGTCCTGGCCCGCTCCGTCGTCCTCGACGAGCAGGGTCACGGGCGCCGCACCCTCGCGCCGCGGCGGGTCGGTCCCGCCGACGAAGAGCGAGGCGGCTCGGGCGGCCCAGCCCAGCGCCACGCGGAAGCTGCCACCGGCCGCGAGGCCAGCAGCCAGGGCGGCAAGGACCGCCCACCAGCCTGGCCCGGTCCCGCAGGTCAGACTGCAGTCCGGGCAGCTCGGGCAGCCCGGGCAGGGGGCGGCGGCCGCCGCCGGAGGGCACGCGGGGCAGGCCCCGCACGTCACGCGGGCCTCCGGGCACGCGGGACAGCGCGAGAGCCACGCGGTCGCGATGGAGGCCGCCCACGGGCCGGCTGCGGCCCACGGCACCACCATGCGCTGCCGGGGGCCCATCGAATGATAGAGCTTGAGCAGGAGCGGTTTCGGAGCAGAGGGAGAGAGCAGCAGCAGGAGCAGCGAACGAGACGGACGCGGCTCCACTGCTCTGAAACTCCCGAGGCCACTCGCACTTAGGAAAACGAGTCAGAGACAAATCACATCACCATAATGATCAGCATCATCAGCATAATGATCATCATCAGCATCATCATCATCAGCATCATCATCACCATAATGATCAGCATCATCATCATAGCCATCAACCTCATCATCAGCATCATCATCATGATCAGCATCATCATCAGCAGCATCACCATCACCATCATCATCAGCATCATCATAATCATCATTAACATCATCAGCATCAGCATCTTCATTATCCTCCGCCTCCTCCTCCTAATCCTCCTCCTCCTCCTCCTCATCCCCCTCCTCCACGTCCCCTCTCTCGCCCTCCTCCTCCTCCTCCTCCTCCTCCTCCTCCTCGCCCTCCTCCTCCTCCTCGCCCCATCTCCCCTCTCCCTCGTCGACCCCGGCGCGTGCGCCACCTTCCTCGCCGCCGCCGCCGCCGTCGGCAAGCCCCCCCTGAGGCGCTTTGGTTGAGCAGCAGGGCGGCGCGGGCCAGGGAGGCCGACCGCCTGGCGGGCCGTGCCCCAAACCCAAGGGGAGGAGGAGGAGGAGGAGGAGGAGGAGGAGGAGGAGGAGGAGGAGGAGGAGGAGGAGGAGGAGGAGGAGGAGGAACAGGAGGAGGAGGAGGAGGAGGAGCGAGGAGGAGGAGGAGGAGCGAGGAGGAGGGCGAGGAGGAAGAGAAGGAGGAGACGGAGGAGGAGGGAGGAGGAGGGGGGGGGAGGAGGTGGCGGGGGAGGTGGAGGTGGCGGGGGAGGAGGAGGAGGAGGAGGAGGAGGAGGAGGAGGAGGAGGAGGAGGAGGAGGAGGTGGAGGAGGAGGAGGGGGAGGAGGGAGGAGGAGGAGGCGGGGGAGGAGAAGGAGGAGGAGGAGGCGAGACAAGACGAGACCAATGACGAAGTCAAAGCAGATAGAGGGGGCGCGGTACGGCGGCGGTCCTGGGCGTCGAACTCGATGAGCGGCCGCGCGGCGCGCGAGCGCGCACACGCTCGCCGCTCCGTCCGGCTGAACCGCACACACACACACACACACTCACCCACTTAGGGGCCCCGCGGAGCCCCAAATAGTATATGATGGGAGACCTCTGGCTACTCGTTCAGCCTTGCTGAGCACCTTAGGCCAGAGGCCCCTAGAAATTATGTCAAGGTAATCCCTCTTGGACTTAGTGAGAGGGGCCGGTGGAACTCTACGGGCAGGACAAAGATCCGCCAGGCCACGAACCTGTAAGTGGCCATAACTTCCACACGCTTTACAAAACCACAGATCGAGACCAGTATGATATAACATAATATGGGAACCGTGAGCCACACCCCCAGCGAGTTGTACATCCCGACCCATAGGCAATTTGTATAAGACACTCGATACAGGGATAGAGTCAAAGCACTCTGAGGCCAGCCAAAGTGCTCGACCAGCTTCTGTGGTGGAGCTGTGACAGCGGGAACATCCTTGTCCACACTCACGGACCGAATGGCTGGACTGGAAAGGAGCAACAGACACAGGAGGCGGAGGGGCGGGGGCAACGGTAGGAGCAGCAGAGCGCCTGACCTGTTTCCCACCAACCTTACACGACTCCAACGTGGCCCTTAAGAGCCGCTCCCGAATGAGACGTACCTCGCCCTCGACCCGATACACACAAGCTCTTGGATTTGCTGGGGCGCTGAAGAGACGGGCAGCCGTCCCAGCAAGAGAATCCACAAAGACACTACCTGCAATTAGGTGGCCAGGGAGGCGTCTGTCCACCACTTCGGCGGCCTCAACATGCGAAGGCACTTTGAGGACACAGATGTCGCCTACCTGTCGATCCGACATACGAATGGCAACGCCCAGCCTCCGCCAGAGATCCGCATTGGGCCCCCTGCGGGGCCTCAGAACACCTACACCAGAAGCCTAGAGAGACCTCGCCGTTACCCGTAATGCACGCGATGGGACCTCCAGAGTGTTCCACGGCAACCACAAAACAGCGAAGCCCCCCCTCGGGACCGTCTGGCGACGCCCAGGGAGGGGTCCATACACAAAACGCTGGGCGGGAGGGACGGCGGTGGGCGCCGTGGCGACAGCCACTCCTACACGCCTAAGCCTGGGATAATGGGCATCAGCCCCTCCAGACGCATCCCCCCAAATCAAAAGAGGTAGGTCTGGGGTGCCTGCCCCAAAAAATACAGCACCACATTCCTCGTGATCATGACAACTGGGGCCACGCAACCAATAACATTCAAGACTCCCAAACTCATTCAAAGCATGAGGGGTGGGAGCATCGGAGGCACTGAAAGCTGGACTGCCCTGGTTGCAGTCGCACATCCAAAATTTGTGAACTGGGGCCCCAGGGCCCCCATCCACATCTGCTGCACTCGCACGGGACGTCGCAATCGAATGCGATTTCCCTAGCGGCGGGCCAAGCGCCTCCGATCGCCATGCATAACATAAGCTCAGAAAGCTCGCGGCCACAACCCGGCAGCTGCCCCAGCTGAAACAAATATTTGCGCAACGAAAAATTATCAACACCATGCCCCATGCCACTGCCGCAGAAACCCTCGGCTGCAGCTCGCCACTGCTGCAACTTGAGGGCGTCCACGACATGCTCAATGAGCTCACTTGCTTGGACCAAAGCTCCGAACGACTCTGATCCGAAGCCCCATCCATGCTGCATGCCGTCGGCGCCGATGGGGGGGGGCACCGTGCCGCGACCGATCTGATTTCCCACTTGCACCCCACCAGGTAGTGGACGAGAGCGGATATAGGTCCCCTGACGTGCCGAGCTCGATGCTGCGCCTCCAGATCGAGGAACTGCTGGACCAAGCCTGGCCACACTTCACCCACCGCATGTCGCATCTGCGGTGCGCCCAGCCAGCACTTGAACCATTGCTCGATGCATTGGCGTGGGAGTGCGTACCCAGGGTCTGCCCCAGGCGCCCTCAGGTCCAGCAGCGTCGTGAGACATCGCCCCCGTCGGTGACCTGAGACACCGCCTGGCCTGCGCCTGAGTTGCTGCAGCGACGACTGGGGCAGGCCTAACACCTGGTGGCCGCAGCGAGCACCGGCCTGTGGGCCTGCCAGCTCCACCTTCTTGAATATCCTGAACCTGCGCGAAGATGACGCAAAGCGCCTGGGCGTGAGGTGCTGGCGCCCGGCGGTCTCCATGCGTTTTTGCCTCGCGGCTCGTCCGCGGCGCCTGCCGCAGGACAAGTCGACGCCCAGGTACGCCATCTGCGCGGCACACTGCATCGCGATGCCACGCTTCTTCAAGGCCTTGGCGATTGCACGGGCATCGGCCGTCGATGCACATGAAATCGAACTCTTGCTAGCCAACCCCAGCTTCTCGCCAGACAAAAAATCGAATGTCGAAGTCGCCCCTTCGATCAAGTCGCGCCGAACACTGAATGACGATCCCACTGCCGACTGCGATAGATCGTCATACCACAAGCGTTCGGCTAACCTGGGGCGCATCATCGTGAGTCGCTCCATGACCAGGCCCGTGACGCATCTCGCGAGACGAGTCCCGCTGCGCAGCCCCTGGATGATGCTCCCGGTGGGTTGGAAGGGCGACGAGACCGCATCCCCCTGATCCACCATCCTGGAGCTGGCGCAGACCTGCAATTCTAGCCCCAGCATGACTGCTGGGTTCCGATACCTGACGGCACCCGCAAGGCACTGTCGCCCTTCACCGCGGCGTCCCAATCGGGTTGGGTCTCCAACGCCCACTGCTGAGCCACTGGTTCACGTGCCATACTCCATATACGACATATCATACAAACCAAATTCTATAACACGGAACTGACCCTCAGCCTTCTTGGGCAGCAGTCCCCCGACCACTCCCATGAGCTGCCAGGGCCATGTCTGGCATTATTCGAACATAATGAAAAGTGCCGCTGACTCCGTCTATGCTTCGTCAGGTAGCCTCTCCAGATCCACTGGCGACAGGCGATCAATGGCCATGCCAGCTTTAGCTTTCATCGACCTGACGGCGCGACGCTCATCGTCTAGAGTCATGGGCCCCAGCGGCTCCCCACGCGCACGACCTCGGATGATGGCGAATCCATCCTCGACCTTCTCGCAATCCATGTGTGAGGATGTCCAAAGCTTGTGCCACTTGCCAGCCCGATGCTCCACGACGTCGCGAGGATGCTGGATGGTGTCGCCCTCCACCGTGACTGAGGTCGAGCTGACGGGCTGCTCCTTGAACAAAAATCCGCTAACGATACCGACGACGCCCGTGACCTGACCCTGCGCGCTACACGCGCCGCCTCCTTGGGGAACAGCTCGAGCTGGGCAGTGGGGATGGCCCTCAGGTGTCGGAACACATCGACCCATTGGTCCCAAGACGTTGCGTCCCTATGCACTCTGTCCACATTCTGAACACCGCCTGGGAAATGGCCTGATAGCTTGACCGCGGCCTCGCACAGCGCGTCGATATGTGCCTGGCCGTTGTTCCTCTGCCTGCGCTTGAAAGTCTCGCTGACGACGACGGCAACCCTCCCCCACCAATTGGCGATCACGTCCTGGAAGGGCATGCCGCGGAAGTGGGTGGACTGCCTGACCTGGTGGACCGTCATCGTCGGACCCCTCGCACGAGGAAGGCCGCGATGCGAATATCCTGCCCCACGCGTCGCCTCCACAGCTGCGTTCCAAGCCGCGAAGGCCCCGCTGACTGGGAGTGCGCATTGACCGCCAACACGAAATGCCAACGACTGCTGGATGGGTTTCCACGCGCCGTCAAGGGAGTGCATATGGAAGCCAGAATGAGCTCGAGCCGAAACCCAACGGACATGAGGAACGGCAAACGCATCAGCATCGGGCACAGAGGGCGGAACGGTGGGAGGAGTTCCACCGCGCGAGGGGGAGTCTGGGAACGCCTCGCTTGAAATAGGTCGGCACTCG